CTCACCTGTACATCGTGTTTGGCAAACTCCTTTGCAAGCGCACGGCGTCCAGCCGCAGTAGGATTGACGGCGTCGTAGATAGCAACTTGGCCATTTTCGTGGTTGAGCCACGCGTAAATATCCTCCCTGCACTTCTTCAGAATCTTTTGTCGGAGCATGGTCGAGGCTGGAGAGGCATTGGGGTAAAAGTAGTCTTGAGGAACATGTCCGCCCTCGCCAACGGTAGCACGGCGGTAGTCGCCTAGGTGGAAAATCCGCGTCTTGACACCGAGCCTATAAAGGGTTAGACGATTGCGTGACAAGTAGAAGCAAATTAAACGTACCACTGAAGATACCGTGCCATGGAAACACAGATATGACTAAATTACTGTTAGCATACTTATGAGAACAACCGGGGGTACATGGAGAGGCCTACGTCTTGCCCCGCGCGGGAAGGCCAACCATAACGATAGCAATACGGCCTGAATGGAAGAGCCTGCCAGACATTGTGCTGTAAAGCTGGGCTGGGGCCATGTTGTCCTGGTCTGTGACATCGTGAATGCCATCGATAAAGGTTGAACTCTTGCGACGGTATCGCGGTGCGTTGGCCGCAATCTCGGCAGTTCTGCAAATGTTAGCAATTGTCTATGTATGGAGAAGTCCACCTCAAAATTTCTGAAATGGTCCATCCCCCTGGCTACGAGGTAGGTTTCCTGCGCAATTGTTCGGTGGAAAAATCCCAATTCCAGCTAGAATAGTCGCCAATGATATGGACTGGAGCTCGACAACGGTGCAAGCCATCTTCAACTTACAAGAGTGTATCCATGTCGCCAGTTATGGTATGCTTCTCGGGTAAGGTGTACTCGTTGTGATTACGTTCGGTACTGGTACGCAGAAGGCCCGTTCTGTTCCTCAGAGGTTTCGGTTGTGAAGGGGATGGAAGCCCGGGTGTCGGCGGACGGAGTGGGTGTGTTGCAAGCGAATTTAACACCCACGGCGCTTGCCTTGTATGATTCCGCGTGATAGGATGAGTCCACCAAGCTGTTCGGTTCTTAAATCTTCGACGGAACACAAGAAAGATCGGTATGGCAAAGGGAATTTGCTAGAAAGCGTGTCCCGTGGTGTGATGACGCTCGGCGGTAGTCGCAGATGTCGGGAAAGCGGATATCTCTGACCATGTGAGATGGGTTGGGATATATGGAGGAAGATCGAGACGGCAACCAATATAGTGTTTGGCGGTGACGAGAGGAGGTCCAAAGGTTGACCTTCTGATACACAACTCCAAATAGCAATAAGGTGGAGTTGAGATGGGTGAGACGAGATGATAGTATAGCAGATATCAAGGAAAAACCCAAGTGCTATGTCGCAAAGATAAGGTAGGAATGATTATGGTCAGAGAATGACAGGTACTTCAGCGCATCGCAAACCAATCAGTAGGGCACTGAAGCAATCGTGCGAACGGAAGCTAGCGTGTTGCGAGTTCTGCGACGGGACGGGACTGCAAATGTGAGGGAAGCTCGAGTGGAAAGAATGGCACCAAAAGGTGGACTTGCCGGCCGCCTCTTGGCTTTTTGTTAAAAGTTAAAAGGTGGAAAGAAGAGACCAGGGCGGATCCTCTTGCAGTCATTCATGCTCCACAGGCGGAGAGCATTTGGGGTTGGGCATTGGATTGCACTGTGTACTTACGTGAAAGATGCAGTGAGGCAACACCTTACCCCACCAAAAGATAATGACTAGGTTCACCATCATCACTGCACGGGTTCACAAGAACTCCAAAAGAGACTTAGATTGAAGGTAGTCAAGGGATATGCTGTTACAGTCTCTTGTGAGAATTCCAACTTGAACGGACAGGTTTGTATCACCGACAGCTCAGCACCGGCGATCCAGAACTGAGAAAGTTCAATTTACATGCGGCCAGAATCATCGGCTTCTGCCGCTCCTCGTTTTCCCCAACCTGCCCACCTGTCGTCATCCCGAGTTCCCATTCTCACCGCCCGACCGGGGTTGGGAGTGGGTGACAAGTCTTGGCACATGCGACTGTGAAGGAAGCACAGACCAGTTCTCCAGTCTCCGCAGCCGCCGCACGGCCGCGCAGGGGCCAGCCGAGCCGGGACTGGTGTGTCGTTAACACCGTGAAATTTTTGGCCTAGCTTTTTGAAGTTCCTGTCCCGGGCGCGGGTCTTTGACAAGCTTGGTCGGAACGGATATTTTCATATCGTCGGACAGCTCTCTCCATCCAAAGCGGCATCCAACCAACCAGGCTCTGGGAACTTCAACTGGCGACAAACTCGCGTCCACCACCCATCCACAACCCTTTTGTCCCCACGCAACACCACCGCAGTTGACGACACCACCTGTTGCGTCCTCGATTCCCACCAACATCCTCTCGTCGTCCTTGTCCCCTGCGACCGTTTACAATTATGGCCTCGTTTTCCACTGAGTCGCCTTTGGCGATGCTGCGCGACAATGCCATTTACTCGAGCCTTTCCGATGCCTTCAACGCCTTCCAGGAGAGGAGGAAACAGTTCGGTCTTTCCAACCCCGGCACGATCGAGACCGTCGCCCGCGGTGCGTTGCTGCCACCATACAAATCCAGTCTTTGAAGATACCCGGCGCCGTCGGCGGGGAAGTGCGCAGAAACAACATACCGTATGCTGCGGCACTCCATGATGCTGCGCCGGCCGGTTCTTCGTTGGAGTAATAGACAATCATTGCTGACAGCGCCTTGACAGAGGTCCAACGCGATACCCTCCTCACCAACTACATGTTCTCCGGCCTCCGCGCCGACGTCACCAAGGCTTTCAGCCTCGCCCCTCTGTATGTTGGTTAATTCCAGTTGTGCGATGGGGATCATTGCAGGAACTGCATTGCGAATTAGGGACATTATCTGTGTTGCGCATGCGTTCCTGTGGTTCTGAGCAGCAATGGTCCTGGCAAATCTTCTTCGAATAACCGCTGACCTATAACCCAAGCTTCCAAGTTTCTCACCAGTTTGCTATGGGCGAGAGGCTGAACCCTTATGCCTTTGCCGCTCTCTACGGAACCAACCAGGTATGCTCTTGGAGGATACACGATACTAGAAGGACCAGCTCCTAACCCGCATAAATAGGTCTTCGCTCAGGGTAACCTCGACAACGAGGGCGCTCTCTCGACAAGATTCAACTATAGATGGGGCGACAGGACCATCTCCAAGACGCAGTTCTCGATCGGCGGCGGTCAGGATATGGCCCAGTTCGAGCACGAGCACCTTGGCGACGACTTCACTGCCTCCCTCAAGGCTATCAACCCTTCTTTCCTCGACGGCGGCCTCACCGGTATCTTCGTTGGCGACTACCTCCAGTCCGTCACTCCCAGACTCGGCCTTGGTCTCCAGGCCGTCTGGCAACGTCAGGGCCTCACTCAGGGCCCCGATACCGCCATCTCCTACTTCGCCCGCTACAAGGCCGACGACTGGGTTGCTAGTGCTCAGCTGCAGGCTCAGGGTGCTCTCAACACTTCCTTCTGGAAGAAGCTTACGGATAGAGTCCAGGCTGGTGTTGATATGACCCTGTCTGTCGCTCCCTCTCAGAGCATGATGGGTGGTCTTACCAAGGAAGGCATCACCACCTTTGGTGCCAAGTACGACTTCAGGATGTCCACCTTCAGGGCTCAGATCGACTCCAAGGGCAAGCTTAGCTGCTTGCTCGAGAAGCGTCTTGGTGCTGCGCCTGTCACCTTGACCTTCGCTGCTGATGTTGACCACGTCACTGTAAGCTAATTGCCCTTCCATTTTCATTGTGCGCGTATGCTAACCCCCTTCAAGCAACAAGCCAAGCTCGGCATGTCCGTCTCCATTGAGGCGTCTGATGTCGATCTTCAGGAGCAGCAGGAGGGTGCACAGTCCCTCAACATCCCCTTCTAAACTGAAATATGTATATCCGGGATGAAGAACACTGGTCGATTGAGCCAGCATTCGGTTTCCACTCTACCCTTGCACTCTACTCATTGTGTTGACAACGTAATATAATCACACACGATGCCCCCCAAGTACCAAAGAACAGAAAGGGTGAGGGCCATACCTCTTTACATTCCCTCACCACCAGCGCCATTTCTGTCTTTGATCCCATCCTCATCACATCATCTAGTACGAACTGGTCACGGCAAGTTGCCATGGAAAAATCGAAAAGTCGGATGTTGCGAACCTCTGCCTCGCAATGGTTCGGCTTGGCTTGGGTCTTTGCATACAACTCACACGAAACGATAGACATCTCTCACCCAATTTTCTCCTTTTAAAAAAGTTTCCCCTCGCGCTTTGCATCTCATCACTTGGCGCTTTCATCTTTTGGTTTTCCCTGGGGAGAGGAAAAAAGGGAGGGGGGAAGCTTTTTTGTGTATTATAGACAGGTCAATCAGGGAAGGGCGTGTAGCATGTATCTGTGGTCTGTGCATTTCTCTGGGTTGACTGAATGTCCTTTGGGGACGGTCAACATGTTTGTGTCAAGAATATGAAGAAGGTTTACATACGATACGAGGTATTGATGATAGCGGGACAATTTTTGAATGTCGAGAAGCGGTTGCGGTTGAAGCATACTTGTTGTAATCGTTGTGTCTCGTCATCGTGGCATTGCACATACGTAGTTATGTCAATGGTGAACGGATGTAAAATCTAAGTGGATATTACAGAGCCACTTCACTCTTGTCTTTGTTTCTTTGCCATCAAAGAAGTGTGCCGGTTTGGATACATCAGTCAAGGTAGCAATAACATGAAACTCGACCAATTCTCAACACAACTGGATAACAATCACGGCAAAACGCCTTTCGAATTTCATCAGTAAATTGGAAAATCAAGATGATGTGGAAATCAATTGCTTTGTCCCGCCAAACTCTCCAAAAAGCCAACTAATAAGTACCATTAATCCTCACCATCATATCTCACTCGCTCCATCCGCGCATCATTGGAGATCACCAAAATTGAGTTCTCCCGCAACCTATGGCTATGCTGCGTACATGAGCAGCTCATTCAACCTGCAACTTTAACAAGCGGGATTGTAGTATAGTGGTCAGTACTTCTCGTTGTGGTTCGATTCGATCATACAACGATCCGAGAGGACCCAGGTTCGATTCCTGGCAATCCCATTCTTTTTTCCATTTTTTCCTATTCACCTCGAACACACATGGGACATCTTGGAGTTGATTCTTGGTTTCGGCTTCTCTTTTTTTTCAGTTGCTCTTTTTTTTTTTCGCAATTTTTCGATGTTACTTGGGGGTTTGGGAAAAGTGGGACCTTTCTCTCCCCCTCTTGCCTTGTCCCATAATAAAAGTTTGTCCCATAAATTTTTTTCCCCCTCTTTTATGAAGAGGGGGTGAGAAAAGGCCCCACCCAGGCCTCCCTCCTACCCCCAAGTAGCTCTGTTGGCGAGAAGTGGAAACCCGATGGATGAAAGGTGAGCAAACTCGTTGAAAAATGAAGTTCTGAGCGAGGCAGCATTCTTAGTTTCAGAAGTCGTCAATTGCGAATCTATGAATGGAAACTACAAGGTTCTCGGTGAAACAAACTTCGAGACAAATTATCTTTCTTTTCGCTTTCGCTTGCCTATAGAGGACAAGACCACATGGTACTCAACAACGCTAAACACAACTAAACTACCGGTATCTTTAGAACCATATGTATCTCTTTGTGCCAAACCCACAAACTCTCATTATGACAGTTGAAACACAAAAGCACAGACAGACAGGCGCCAATAACAAATGTCGTTTTTCGACAAGATCTACCAGTAATGTACCCGGTTTTCGTTTTTCCTTCTTCGCCTTGTATATGCATTGGAAGAATCAAAGAGAAGCTGAAAATATGATACATGATCTCCACAACAAACAGCTGATACACCAACGCCATGCCATGATTTTGCCGAAGAGCAGTCTCAACCGCTCAACGTGGAAATGCTTTATACAACCAGACCAAACCAACCAGCCCCAGAGAATGCACCGTCCCAAACTGTCCTGTCTATCCCTCCCACCCCGAGAAAAAAAAATCAGAAAACCATTAAACCCGTGCGCTGGAAAATCATCACATGACAGCGCACTCCCGATCAGGGACGCCATCCTTCCCTGTCTCCTTATTCTTGCCCGATTTGTCTCCCTTCTCTTTCTTGCCTTCCTTGTCCTTGCCCTTCTCCTTCGTGTCCTCTTTGTCCCTAACCTTGCCCTTCTTAGACTTGCGATGGTGGCCTAGATGGTGATGGCCTTCCTTCTCTTTCTCCTTATCCTTATTCTTCTCCTTCTGGTCCTTATCACTCGCATCCTCAACCTCCTTGGCCTCCGGTTGCTGCTCATCACTACCCCCTTCCGATGAGTTAGCAGCACCGTTGCCGGCATCCTTGTTGAGCGTGTCCCTACTGGGCCGTGCCAGACCCCATCGCGACATGCTAAGGCTAATGCGGGTCTCCCCGGCCTGACTGGTGGGCCGGGATTTGTTCTTTAACTTCGCCGCTGCCCGACCGAGTCTCGTTGCAGTACTCTCCCCCTCTGGTGTAGCAGGTGGCATTGATGGTGCGCCTACATCACTAGGTGTAAGGGCTGTTGTTGCCGTGGTATCGGAGACGGCAAGGCTGCCGCGTCGGGATCTCACTGCCCTCAAATGCCCTGCGCTTCCTGTTCCATACGGATCATCGTCAAGACTGAGACGCGCGGGCCGTTCAAGCTCTGTACTAAAGCGAATGTTGGGACCGCCACCGTTGTGTACGAGGGTTGATGCGGAGTCAAAGTAACCACTAATCGACCTTGACATCCCCCCCGGCCGTTCCAGAAGGGGCTCCATGCTTGGCGTTCCTGGTATACCGGAAATCACGGTGGTCGACTCGTTGTAGGAGGGTGGTTCACCAACAGACCCATCACTAGAGGCTGTGCTGACGTCGACCATCGGGACAATTTGGTAGAAGAGTAGGTAGGGCATCTCTTGTTTAAGAGACTCTCTAATGTCGTCAACATAGGACACTCGGTTGTCCAAATCCAAGTCGTCGAATTTGACCCATTGTGCCTCCTCGTAATCCGGCGGCGGGTCATGTTCACATCGGCGATTGTCAGTGAGAAGTTTCGGTGCCACGCGAGCAAATGAAACATAGTGCCCACTGTGAAGAGAGTCACCACGGTGGCAGACGACCGACTGAAGCACAAGCTTGTACTCCTGGCTAAGCCCATTGGACTGCTTCTCATCATCATCTGGCATCATGAAGTGTGGCAGGCGCATGGAGTCGGGGATGTCGATGAGAGTATTCTGTCGAATTGGGAAGCCGGTTTCTGTCATAGTATACCGTTTCAAGCAGATGCCGACCACCGGCCGCTGGTTAAAATGCCGTGCAACCTCAACATCGTTGCTTGGCTCACCGTTGGAAGCCGTGGCATGCCATGCTACATTAAGCTTATTAGTTGACCAATCCGATTCCATAAGATTTCCATTCAGGGGGCAACACTCACGGATTAACCTGAAGAATTGCCAGGCAGGTATTGTCACGGCCTTGACCACGGTTGAGCTTGTTCTTCTGGCCTTCTGGAGCAGAGTTTCGTTCTCTGGATCCAACGGGGCCTTCCTGTCCTCCACCACGATACGCTGTATAATACTAGTAGAGCGGTGTCGGGGTGCTGCTGGTAGCTCGGGTCTCGCAGAAGCGATATCAAGCATTGAGACTGAAGTGCGTGTCGTCGAATCCTGTGATGTCCATCTTCGTTGCAGATGTGGGTTGTTGTCGCCATGGTCGCTCGCTTGACCACCCTCATCCTCGCTTATTAGCCGGACAGTTTCGCATGGGAGAGGGCCCTTTTCGTCGTCCGCCTTTTTTTCCTCTACGCTATCCCGGAAGACGTCAACCTTGTTGTTGAAATATTCTTCGAGACAGTCCTCCAACTTGATACCCTTCCCATCAGGATCAGGGGGGACGGCGAGGTTGAGTAGTCGCTCGTGGACGACTTTGTGGTCGTCTTCGTCCTTTCTGCCTTGGTGAAAGAGGTCGACTTGGAGAGCGAGGAGCGGTAATTGCAAGGTCTCGGTAATGAAAGCGAATGCTTCCGACGTATCTTGTTGTTCGAGTTCCTGGGCCTCCTCCCATCCACAGGCCGCCAATGATTCTTGGATAAGCTGGGTCTGGAGAAACGCCGTTAGTCCACGGAGACAAATCCAAGGCCATTGCCACGTACCATGTCTGTGTGTATCAACATCCCACTCCTGAGCATGTTAACCCATAACCTAAGTAGTGCTGCGAGCCTCCGCTGGTTTTCGTTTGCCGGATCGTTCTTCAGCATGCATTCAAAAGCTGAAAGCTTAGCAAACATGGCAAATAATAGGGCGTCGAGGTAGCAGGTGACATTCCCTCGGTTTTCTGCGCCTTGCATGCTAATCTTTGGGTTGTATGGTTGTATGATCCCAGCGAAGGCCTTTTGTTGGAGCCGTATGAGCTCGATTGCTTTGTCGACATCGCCATTGGCAAATTTGGAGTTGAGTGAAAATCGGACCACTTCTTCTGAGATCTCGGTGTAGTTGCGCTCTTCCAGTTGCTTGGTAATTTCGGCAATCTGCAATGGATCGTAGTCACATCAGTAACCTGCCTTGAAGCAACCCCCACAGACCATACACATACCTTTACGGCCTCCTTTTCCACCTCTTCCTTTTCTCGTAGTGCTTGCTTGACAGACTCGGGCCTGAACATGGAAAGCCATGACATGTCACCAAGTGGCCGGCTCTATACAAAGTCAGATTCTGAAGACAGGCAGCCACGAGAATAGAAGAACGACAACGGACCTTTGGGCCTGGTTCTGTAGATTTGTTTCTACGATGAGTACCATTTTTGTCACGTACACTTCGAAATTTTTTGGGCACCAAAGAGGTGGTTTTGGTGCCCTTTAGTTTCTCCATAATATTAAAACCTGGACGACTCGAAGGTTAGATGACCGAAGCTTGAGAGGTTGGGCAGAATCAGGCTGTCAGGATAGGTGGTGCTTTCTCAAGTCATTCAGATTCATGATCTGGAAACCAGAGCAATTAAGGAGGACGAGGATTGGGCGTCGGCAGGTCGAGAGAGCCCCAATAGGCAGTGATGGTCGAAGCTGTTACAGCCCTGTTCAAGGTCTGCTGAAGTTCCTATCGCGAAGCTAGGTACGCCAAGATACGTGCGAATTGGAAGATGGGTTTCGTCTCGTCGTTCTCGGTATTCGGTCGCTCGGTGTTGTGTATGGGTGTGGACTGTTGTGCACTACACTATTGTGTGTTGCGTAGGAGAAGAGGCTGTTCTGCTGGTCTAGGCACTGAGGTGACCTTAAGTCTGGCTCGCAGGGCAGTTCAAGCTGGTGTCTGTAGACCTGGACCGTGATAATTGCGCATATGTAGGGTTCGGCGGTAGGGCAGGGTCGTGGTCCGCAGACGGCGAACGACAAGACGTCGAGGTTCGGACGAGGGCAGGCTTATGACGACGTCAAGGGCACGGACAGACCGACGGGAAAAGTCTGGGGAAGCGGGATGAGAAAAATAAGATGGAAGGCCGTGAGATAAGGTAAAAGGTACGCTTGGTATCGGATATCTATGGGGCCCCGGCTCTCCTAGTTCGGGGTCCTGGACTCCTAGCTGGACTGCGTCGTCAGACTGCACGTAGAAGTACTTGTTAGATCATATTTGCACATTCGACTTGCGTGAGGGCATGCCCTGGGGACCGGTGGTGCTTGGAAAAGGATGTCCGCTATCGAGCCCGCGCGTCGACGAAACAAAGCCACAATGAAGGCTCAAGAAGCTTGCTGCGCCTGGATATGTCGCAGGATGCCTATGATGGTGGGGGTAAACATACCTCGAGGAGGGGTTGCCTGGTCTGGTTCCTGTCCTGTCGAACGCTGTCGGACCGACTGTGGAAATGTTCAAAAGATAATAACCTAATGGAAAGATTCCTAGGAGGACGGACAGCCTAGCCCCTGACGAATGACGGGGTGCGTGGTTGGGCGGGGGCTCTGTTAGCGCTGGATGCGCTAGAGCAGCCCCGGCGTACAGTAGTAGGTAATCATTGCTAGAATGGGCCTAAACAGATCGACATTAAGCGGACTATTAAGGTAAGGTAGTCTAAGGTGCGCATGGATCACGCGGCTGATTGGCTGCGCTGGGCAGT